TCTCTCTCTCTCTCTCTCTCTCTCTCTCTCTCTCTCTCTCTCTCTCTCTCTCTCTCTCTCTCTCTCTCTCTCTCTCTCTCTCTCCTCCATCTCTTTCCTTCCTCCTCCTTCTTATCTCTTCTTCTTCGAATCTGAGAGTGTGAGAGTAGGGATTCAGGCAGAGGTTATGCTGGGCGCATCGCCCAGGATCTGATTCGAAATTTCTGGGACAGACATTGATTGGACACTCGGCAAGGGACTATTTGTTTGGATTTCGCTATTGTGATCTTGGTCTTCTCCCGCGCCTCCTTCCTCCTCGTCTCGTCCCTCCCCCATCTCTCATCCGTGGTATCTCCCCATGTATGTGTGCGCAGGAGGGACCTTTCTTCCATGTGTGCGGTCCCTCCTCCCTCTCTCACCTGTGTGATGTGTGATGGATGTTGGGTCAGTCCAGATCAGATCAGATCTTCTCTTTAAGTCTTCCACTGCGCCCTTTGTGCCATCTTGTATGTATTCGGAATGTACATTGCTTGTTGATACTACGCTGACCTTGCATTGTCCATTTCAGTTCTTTTCATCACATAGCGGATCCTTGGCTCCCTGCGCATTGTCCCACTGGACATGCGTCAGTTTTGGTATCGGAGCCACGCGTGTGAATCAGGACGAACCTGATCTGACCCGAGTGCGGGACAACCCAAGATCAATTGGGTAAGTCGGGATTGATTGATCGATTGACCCTGGGTTAATTGATTGATTGATTGATTAACCCTGATTGATTGATTGATTGATTGATTGATTGATTGATTAGGGCACACTAATTAGTCCCCAAAATCGCAGATTCCGACCTAACTGCCAAAATCGAAATTTTTTATCCTCTTTGGATTTCGTTTTCCCGCTATTTTTTTCTTGTGGTAAATCGCAACAGCAGGGCATCCGAAAGTTTCGTTTCTGAACTCGAAACTTCGTTGCCGGAAAACCGAAATACTGCACCTTTCCGTTATTTCGAGAAATCCCGCAATTTTTTTTTGAATTCGTCATTCTTCTGAAATTCGAAATTTCGCGGCATAGAAGTCCGGAAATTCTTTCTGAAAAGTTTCAATCTTATTCCGTTACGAAAATTCCCGTTATCTCGAATTTTTTTTCTGAGATTCGTTTTTCAATTTCGATTTTTTTTTCTGAAATTCCTTTTTCAATTTCGAAAATTTACCGAAATTCGTTTTTCAAATTCGAATATTTTTTCTGAAATTCGTTTTTCAATTTCGAAAATTTTCTGAAATTCGTTTTTCAATTCCGAAAATTTTTCTGAAATTCGTTTTTCAGTTCCGAAAATCTTTTTTGTGAAATTCGTTTTCATTTCGGAAATTGTCCTTTTTTGGGAAATTCCTCCTGCAGTTCATCATTTTCAAACTGCGCATACTCTCACCTAACATATTCCGAGTTTTTTTTCTATCTCGGAATTGTCTGGACTTGCGGAAATTGATAGTTTTTTTACTGTTTCCGCAGTTCAGCTACTCCCATCATCTCCATTTGATATTTTGATTCATTTGCAGTCTGAAATTCGAAAATTTTCCGAATTAACTGCTGAGGGGATACTTCAGGGGCCCACCGAACTTGCAAATTCGAAATTTTTCCTTTTTTTTTGAAATTTTTGCAAAAGTTTCAATTTTTTTTTTATTAGTGGCTCCATATCTGGGCGACCCATTCGATTGCCCACTCCCCTTCTCTCCACCCCAACTCCTCATCCCTTCTCCGTCCTTCTTAACTGCCCATTCACCTGCAGTTGCAGACTGGGTAAGTCCTCACTTCGGCAGGCAACGTCAGGGACCTGCAGCGCATGACCATACTTACTCGCTCGCAGACAGCAGCGATGGATCAGAAAGCAGGTGAGTCTGTCGAGGCCTATGAGGCACGGTTGGCGGCCATCATAGCCGAAAGCAAGCAACGGGCAGAAGCGGCAGCAGCAACACGGAAGAAGAGAGAGGCAGAGGCAGAGAGACTGCGTCTTCTGGCCGAAGAACAGCGACAGAAGCACGCGGCAGCAGCAGCCAAGGGCGCTGATGAAGAACGTGTGCGGCGACACGAAGTCATATTCAGGGAGGAAGGTGCATTACATGCACAGGCCAAGGACTGGCAGAGGGAGGCCGAGAGCGGCGAATCCGTCGACTACGGGAGCAGGGTATCTCATCTGCTCAACCGTGTCACGGACCTCCTCGCGACTTGTATCGCGCAGCAGGAGGACATCCACTCCCTCGACCACACCAACAAGGTGTTACAGCAGTCGGTGGACCAGATGCTCAAGTGCATACAGCAGCTGGAGCAGCAGGTCGCCACCGCTAACACCAGCGTCGGCCCCTCCGACCTCGTCGACCGCGTCAATGTCCTGGAGATAGACGTGGGAACACTTAAGACTGGGACACAGCAGCTGCAACAGCAAGTTTCCGCAGCAGCCGGCCCCAGCGCAACGACACGCGAAACTATTGCCAAGTTCGATGGGCTCCCGATCTTCTGTGACGCATCGAAGACCGACCCCATCCAGTGGTGGCGCCAGTTTGAACTCAAGCTGGATATCCACCACGTCATCGACGCGAACCGACATGCATATTTGTACTCCCGCTCGGGAGGCGCGTGTCAGGCATGGTTGGACAACATGCTGTCCGCACATGCATGTACAGTCACCGAGTTACACAAGTACATCACCTGGGCGGACCTCACGGCGGCATGGAAGAAGCGTTTCCAAGTAGAACCGCCCGAGCACCAGGCGATGGACAAGCTGCTGACGTTTTCGCAGAACAGCATGCCAAGCGGAGACTGGATTTCTGAGTTCCAACGGCTGGCAAGCACACCCAAGTTGTCGATGAACTTCGACGGCATCAAGCTTTACTTCATCAAGCGGTCGTGCCCAGCGTTGCAGAATGCGTTAACTCAAGTCGCCGAGAACCTCAACACAAGTGAGGAACTCTTCAACAAAGCCGCGCAGATCATCGTGACGAATTTGGCAGCCCGGAATACGGGCCACTCGTCGACTGCCGGCCAGGGCGCGCATCAGCATCGGTCGAAAGTGGCCGTGGTCGCAGCAGCAACGCCTAGCGACCCTTCAATTCTAAACGAGGCTGTTTCGTCTGACGAGGGAGATAGACTCGCAGCTGCCCAGAATGGTGGCCACCCCGCCAAAGGACGAGGACGCGGCAAAACGAAGACGAACACCACTACTTCTTCTGGGCCCGGGCAAGCAGCTCAAGAGCAAGGACCTTGGACAACGTACGGGCTTATAGAGCGCGGGTACCACGTCCGCACCAAGTACCGCTATTGCTTGTGGTGCAACAGCTCAGCACATGAGACAACGAGCTGTCCCACGAAGGCCAAGGGAACCGCCCAGTCGGGAAAGTGAGCACCGCCGAGAGTGATGCGACGACACTCTCGACGCCTACGGAACCGGTTGCCGTACAAGTAACCTCCCTCGGTTCCGAGGCACATGCGGACGTCGTAAGTCCTTCCATTCTTCATTCTTTCGAGGACTTTGCTGCCCGGCTCGTACCTTCGCTGAATTCACGAGCCCAAGGACAGGATGTATGGGCGGTTTCTTCTCCGATCGGAAGCAGCGACATTGAGTCGTCTTCAAGTGGACCTTCACGGGATTCGGCGCGCGCGTTCAACATAGAGGACTTGCACCCGTTGACGCCCGAGGATTTTGCATGGCTTCCTCTCCCTTCCACCGGCTGCTTACCGGAGCCACAATGCGCAGCTCTTAGCGCTCATCTCCATACATACCTAGCCTTTTATGCACCACCAACTTCACCGATGGAGGACGAAGTCGCGGTGGGGGACATTCTTGCGTATGTGAGCAAGGTGGCCCGCGAGTTTCGCACGCAGCGGGACGACGACAACAACGCACCGCTCCTTTATGTCCGCATCCAAATCGGGCAAGCGTCCTGCAGCGCTTTGTTGGATAGCGGCGCGACTCGCAACTTCATTAGCCAGTCCTTCATGCAAAGGGCCGACCTTGGACCACAAGTTCGAAGGAAGGCACACCCTACGTCGATTAAGTTGGCGAACGGAAGAACGCAACAACTCCTTGATCGCTACATCGAAGCCGTCCCGGTTTATTTCGCACCTCATGCATGCGAATCGGTGATGTCTGACGTCTTGGACACGGACTTCGACATCATTCTGGGCATGCCTTGGCTCGCAAGTGCGGATCACACGGTCAACTTCCATCGGCGGACACTTACGGTTCGCGACGCATTTGGCGCAGAAGTACCATGTACTATTCCTCTCCCGCACCCTTCGATCCGGTGCCAAGTTGTAACAGCCAAATCTTTTCGGGCCACTTGCGCTTACGAGCGGACCGAAGGGATAGGCTCATGTTTTCTTCGAACCGTCGCGGTAGCCGAATCTCAACCCATGGACTTGTCTTTAGACCCCCGGGTGGTGCGGTTGCTCGGCGAATTCGGCGACGTCTTCAAGTCACCTACCGGCGTGGTGCAGGATCGGCCGATCTCGCACGAGATCATTCTCGAGGCCGGTGTCGTGCCGCCAAAAGGTTGCATTTATCGCATGAGCGCGGAGGAACTTACAGTACCGCGCGCAGCTCGACGACTTATTGGACAAAGGCTCGATCCGGCCTAGCAGCTCACTCTATGGTGCACCGGTTCTCTTCGTTCGGAAGAAGAACAAGGACCTTCGCCTATGCATCGATTACCGCAATCTCAATGCGCAAACCGTCAAGAACGCGGAACCTCTTCCTCGTATTGACGACCTTCTGGAGCGCTTGGGCGGCGCAATTTTTTTTTCCAAACTGGACTTGAAGTCAGGATATCATCAGATCTCAATTCGGCCGCAAGATCGCTACAAGACCGCGTTCAAGACACGGTACGGGCACTTCGAGTGGGTCGTCATGCCTTTTGGACTCACCAACGCCCCGACGACTTTTCAAGCGGCGATGACTAATGAGTTCCGTGCAATGCTGGACCGGTTCGTGCTGGTCTACTTGGACGACATCCTCGTCTATAGCCGGACCTTGGAGGAACATCTTGACCACCTTCGATGAGTGTTGGAGACACTCCGGCGCGCCAAGTTCAAAGCCAACCGCGACAAGTGCGAATTCGTACGCCAAGAGTTGGAATACTTGGGCCACTTCGTTACTCCACAAGGCATCAGTCCGTTGCCGGACAAGATTCAAGCCGTCCAAGATTGGCCGGAGCCGCGGAACGTCACGGATGTCCGATCATTCCTTGGCCTTGCCGGCTACTACCAACGTTTTATCAAAGGGTACTCGAAGATCACGACCCACTTAACCAAGCTTCAATGCGAGGACCGGCCGTTTGATTTCAGAACGGACGCGTGGGAATCATTCTTGGCGCTCAAGGCCGCATTGCTCTTCGCGGAGGTATTGCGGATATACGACCCGCTATTGCCAACACGTGTCACCACGGACGCATCCGGCTATGGCATTGGTGCTGTCCTCGAACAACATGACGGTGTGGACTGGCACCTGGTCGAATACTTCAGCAAGAAAGTGTCGGTTGTGCACTCAATCGATGATGCACGCAAGAAGGAACTTCTCGCCTTCGTCCACGCACTCAAGCGGTGGCGGCACTTCCTCCTTGGTCGACGCCAATTCCGATRGRTAACGGACAACAATCCGTTGGCCTTCTACAAGTCTCAGGACACCGTCAACAGCACCATCGCCCGTTGGATGGCCTTCATCGACCAATTCGACTTCTTTCCCGATCACATTCCAGGGAAGTCAAACCGTTTTGCGGATGCTCTTTCACGGCGTCCGGACCACTGCACCGCGGTCTACTCAACCTTCGAGATCGAGGATGACTTGCGGGACAGCTTCATCCGCGGCTATCAAGCCGACCCCGATTTTGGCGACAAGTACGCAAACTGTTCCTCTCCCAATTCGGCCCCTTCGCACTATCGGATCCAAGAGGGATACTTGCTCGTTCACTCGCGGGGGAAGGATCTACTTTGTGCCGCAAGATTCACACTTGCGCACGCGGCTTCTTGGCGAGTTCCACGACGCCCCCGCCACCGGACATTTTGGAGTCAATCGCACGATTGGCCGACTCCGCGAGCGCTTTTGGTGTGGCCCGGTCTTCTCGACGACGTCACGCGCTATTGCGAGTCATGCGAGGTTTGCCGACGTTGCAAATCACGCAATCATCGTCCGTACGGCGAACTGCGACCATTGCCGGTCCCCTTGCGCCGAAGGGAAGCGATTGCCATGGACATTACCGGGCGTTCCCCAAGCACAAGACGGGCGTGGATGGGATTCTCACGGTGGTTGACCGACTCACCAAGTTTGCCATGTTTTTGCCTTGCCGCTATCATGCCAAGGAACCGGAGTAGCCAAGGTTCTCTACACCGGTTGGATTCGAACCAAGGGTTACCCCAAGGAAATCGTCTGCGACCGCGATACTCGGTTCATATCCGATTTTTGGTTGGCGCTCATCAAACGATGGGGCTCATCCCTCAAGCCAAGTTCGGCTCGCCACCCCCAAACTGATGGCCAAACGGAGAGGCTACATCAGACCGCACAGGTCCTCCTTCGAACTCTCATCCGTCCCGACCAGAAAGATTGGGTTGAGAGGTTGCCGGATGTTGAGTTGGCATACAACTCGTCCATCCATCCGGCTATCGAGATCTCGCCCTTTGAGTTCGAGCATGGCTCGCCGGTCAATTCTCCGTTGGACACAATCATTCCACGGGCGACCGAGAGCGACGACCACCTTCTCTTCATTCGTCGGATGCAAGAGCTTTTTGTCAAGGCACGCGACCAGATGGCGAAGACGCAGCAACGTATGCGCCAACAGGCCAACCGCCAGCGTCTTCCTTGTCCATTCCGCGCCGGCGACCTCGTCTGGGTTTTCGCTGCGGAATTCAGCCTCGAACAAGATATCTCTCGCAAGCTCCTTCCGAAATGGATCGGGCCCTGGCCGATCGTGGCACCCGCTGGGGACGCACCCGAAGGACCTTCATTCATCATTTAGGAGCCCGCCCACTTGCCAGTCAACCCGGTCTTTCACTGTTCCAAGTTGGCTCTCTACACGCCTGCTGAACTTGATGACTTTCCCGGCGACGATCGCAAGACCCACCCTCGATGGATGGTTTCCAAGAGGTTGGCGACATCATATCCCAGCGACGTTACGGCAACAGGCCGACTGAATTTTTGGTCCACTTTGCATATTGCACCCATAGAGCTGACCGATGGCTGACTCGTGCGGAACTTCAGGCAACAGCGCCCGATGCTCTCGCACGCTATGAACAGAAGCTGAAAGGCAAGCCGGCATCTTCGGCTCCACGCCGTACCCGCATCCAAGTACCGCCTTCAGATCGGCAGCTTCGCCCCCGACCAGCTTGACTTCATAAGGAGGGGGGGGTGTTGCATGCTGAGCCTGCACACAGGCCCCATTTGAGGGGCCCGACGGTTGCTGAGGGGCCCCCAGGCTGCGTACTATCCAGCACGCGCCCTGGAGGCCCACGGCGGCCCTCGAGGCCCTAGGTAGCACACTAGGTAGATAGGTCTCGTTTTACTTACCTTTTTGTGTGTGTGTGCTGTCTTATTTTTGTCTGTTCAGGCGCCGTTTCGGACTTGCAGCCCCAAGGCCGGACGTTGGGACCAGGTACACCAGAGGCAGGCCCGAAATGAGGCCAGGCGCCTTTTGGCGCCAAACCGGTAGGAACAGGCGTCGTTTCGGTCCTGCAGGATTCAAGACGACACCTTGGGCCAGGTGCACCGGTAGGAGGCCGTTCTTAGGCCAGGCTCATTTCTGCGCCATGCTGCATCAGCAGCAGGGTCTGGACGTCCGGTAGGGACCCAGACCCGCTGGGCCGTTCTAGGCCACACAGCACCAGGTAGGCCCAGCCGCTCAGCGCTACAAATAGCTGGGCCACGGCTGGGCAGGGGACCGTTCGAGTAGCTCACTTCTGGGCGACACACTGCTGGTTGGAGGCTGCGCTATGCTGCGCTAAGTTACGGAGTAGAGAGTAGGGCATAGGAGAGAGAGGGAGTGGCGGAGGCCATACCTGCAGTCGGCGAGCTTACCTGGCGCCATAGCTGGGCTCCACGCGGTACCTGCACACGACAGAGGACACAGTCAGTTCGGTGACAGCTACCTGCAGGTGAGATAGCAAGGAGGGCTTCCTCTTCTTCTCTCCCTCCTCTCTCTCTCTCTCTCTCTCTCTCTCTCTCTCTCTCTCTCTCTCTCTCTCTCTCTCTCTCTCTCTCTCTTTCCTTCCTCCTCCTTATCTCTTCTTCTT